AATAAAGCGTTCATTAATCCCGTTGGGACTAAGAGTGCCCAATAGGTGAATAAGCCGCATTTCTTTGGTCTTGCGACAATCATTGTTGCCGTTAAGCAAAGGAAGACCGAAAACAATGAAGTCAGAAAGAGAATGGTTAGCTAGATTAAAATGGCGGGAAACTGGTTTGGTGGGATCGTTATTGCGAATATCATAAAGATGATTGCAAATGCGATCACCAAGACGGCGGCCAGTCTCGCCCACATACAAAAGATTACAGCGGGTACATTTAATACAATATTACACACGGCGCACTGCCATATCTATCTAGTACTATTTTTTTCGTGGGATTGCCAGCTCACTAGATACACTGTGCTGACGAGGCCCAATACAGGCCAAAACAGCTGTCCACAGTTTCTAGTTGAGCTGGCTCATTTTTTACGCGACTTGAAGTTGTGAAAGGCTTGTATGGCACTCTTCTTCAGTCGTTTCATCTAAGGCTCGTAATTTACTTATTACGCATGTTCTTAGATTATCGCTTATATTACAATGGCCTGCTTGCAAGAACAGTTTATGAGGAACGTTTTGATTTTGTTAGCGATATAAAATAACACAAACAACATGAAATAATTGGAATTTTATGGTTGTGAAAGTCTAGTCTCACAAGACAAGAAATGGTCAGCTTCGGGGATTATCCGGGAGATTTGAGATTCTAATCTGGAGACCGGGAGATACAGTCCAAAATCTGGAGACTCCCGGTTTATCCGGGAGAGTTGACAGCCCTGAAGTTTATCCTATTCTACGACATGTACACGGTTAGCTGATACGGGACTTGACAGCCGAGGGACTGGAACAAGACTGGATCGAACATTAAAAAAAAAAATTCTTAGAATTTTGAACAAGTATAAAAGAAACTAAAGGATTAAGATTTCCTCTCCAGACAAGACCAATATTTTAAACGAATCTGAACTACCATCGTACCCATTCATTTTACGTTCCATTAACTTTTCAAGAAAACAGCTTCCCCAGCCTCCCCTCCCCTATCCCGTAAAATTCCCTCTCCCCGCAAGAGGTGGGAGTTTCCAGCTGCAATAATTTAACTACCGGTATAATCTTTAAAACGAAAGGCATATCTCAGATAATAAGAAGTTATGTAAAAATAATCTCATACATTTTCCCCCAGTGATTAAAAAATTTTTGGGCTCCCTGTGTAATAGTTGTCTTGTGGCCAGTCGTTCACAATGGAGGATTTCTCCAAGTGGTACAAGTATTTTAGCTTTTTTCTCTTAGTAAACTTGTGTTTTATAAGTTCATTAGACTGTGGAGGTGACTCCAAGGCTTTAGAGCGTAAGAATGTTCTAATAATCATCTCAGATGATGGAGGATTTGAAAGCCAAGTCTATAATAATACCATCTGCAAGACTCCACATCTGAACGACCTTGCCAAGAGAAGCGTTGTATTCAGGAATGCTTTCACATCTGTTAGCAGTTGTTCACCCAGTAGGTCTGCTATATTAACGGGTAATTATTGTTTCAATATTACAGTATAAGAAATATGATTAATAATTGATATAAAAATGATAATGAATTGTAATGTTAATGAAATAATAATGAATGATTGATTTAAGAAATGGGATATATATGGGCTCATATTTGTACTTAAACCTCTGCTTTATGGCACATAAATCAGTGGACGTGTCTCTTGTGACAGCCATGTTGATGGGAACAATAGATTTACTCTTCATTACATGGGGTTAATCAAAGGTTTTTATTTGCATGAGAATACTCAACAATCATGTGAGTAAAGTTTCTTAGGCCTAGGGCAAACGTCGAACTTTCCATACACTGAACTCGATTACATCAAAGAATGCTGCCTCATTATCACCTGACATCCATTGTTTTTAATGAGTTCAGTGCATGGAAAGTTTGACGTTTGCCCTAGGCCTAAGGTCTTTCCCTTGATTCGGGTTTTTTTTAAAGGTTCTTAGGTTTTCATTCCTCTCCAAAACCTTACCAGATATAAAATTTCATTCCAATGTCAAAATAGCTATGCTTGGAGGTTGTTTCCAGGTTCGAAAAAAGGTTGAAGGTACAGCTACTTTAAACCATAAAATGCTGGCAAGCAGATGGCCCACTTTTGGGTTACCTGTGCCATTTCCACAGGTATCCCAATACAAAGGTCAGTCCTGATTGGTTGTTTTATTGTATCAGGTTTGCCACAGCATCAGAATGGTATGTATGGTCTACATCACGATGTTCATCATTTTAACAGTTTTGATGCTGTCAAGAGTCTGCCTCTACTGTTACAACAGCATGGAGTAAGAACTGGGATTATAGGCAAGAAACATGTTGGACCAGAACAGGTAAGATTTGTCCTATGATGAACTGTGGGGAGAGATCTTCATTCCTGAAGGAATGAATGAGTGATTGAAGACTTATGAATGAATGGGAAAATGAATGGATGAAATGAATGGATAGCATGAGCTACTACTTAGCTGTCTTTCACTGCATGAGTAGCAGGTGTAGCTCAGTTGGTTAGTGCACGGCCTTCAGGGCTAGAGGTTCATAGTTCGATCCTCAGGAACTCCATGTCTGTTTCGACTTCTCTCTGTTCTGTGTAGCTTTAATTAGCTTTAAATACCCATAAAAAGGAGCACTAATAGTAAGGTAGGGTAGAGGGCACACCTTCGAGTGCATTAAACATGAACCGTTGGCTCAGGAGAATTGGGCAACCACTCCCCACATTATCAAAGTAAAACAAATTATTTTACCTTTACCTTTTTTTACTGCTGTGTAGTTCATGCCTAGGTTGCAGGTTCAATTCCCTGCTGAGCCACATGTGTGAGTTGAGTTGTTTAATGTGTTATTCTCACCCTTGTCATGAAGGGAGGGGAGTCTGGATGGATGGATAGATGGATGGATGGTTGGATGGATGGGTGGATGGATGGATGGATGGATGGATGGATGGATGGATGGATGGATG